GACCCTGCCTGACTAACCAGATCAAACGGTCTTACTAAAGAGCGTTCGATCGAGCGGTGCGCCTTCGCTCCTTCCCTCCGACAGAGGGGGCAGATTCCATACACAGATTTAAACCCCTTTTGGGCCTACCGCACAATCGGTATACCCCTAGTGGGTCTGCCGTCTAAAACAGCAGTTGTCTTACCTCCTCGTTTCTGAACCTGAGTTCACACTCATCGACGGGACACCCCAGCACTTCTTACGTAGAGGCCGATGATCTCCTGGACAACAGACCAGTGGCGCCGAGACGAAGGGAGGTCCACGCAGAAGTTCAGGGGTGCAGCCGTAGAGAACGTGGGCAAAGATAGACCGTCTCACGCCTCTGCCTCTCAGCTACCGCTGAACGATGAGCTTCCCGGCCAATGCACCAAATGATACCGGAGAAACTGACGGAAGCAAAGCACAGAGGGATGGACACAGGTTTCTTCAGGAAGGAAGAGATTCTTTATTGGATCACCGATCGGGACTCAGAGGGACTAATGTCACCAAAAATACAGCAAGTTCTGAGCCCCGAACAATAGTGCAGGCTCCCTATATAGGCACATAACTCCTCCCATATTAAGCTCCACCCGCACATTCTCTTGACCAATCATTACAAATAAGAATTAACTTCCTGCTTGACCGCATGGCTTGTTCAGCACAATGGAGGAGGGGAATACTACATCCTGTATTCTTGCACATGCTCCGTACACTACTGATCGTATCTTGCCTCGTGCAACCAACTGATCGATACGTCAGCATATGCACGTACACATACCACGTGGTAATCTCGGCCTACTAAATTTATTTTTACCGAGATTCCACCACAATATGAGTGGCAATGTGTACTGGCACAGTTGTGCAGGGCACAGGCTGTAGGCCTGACACAGCCGCTTGAAGGACACTGACTGCTATTCAATCTGTAACAGTGAAAAAAGTTTTTTGTTTTTAAATGCAAGCTATTGTGACACCAGATATGAGTGAGTGGTGGCACTGGGCACCGTATCCACTGTGAGCTTAACACACCCGCTTTAAGGACACTGACTGCTATTCAATCTATAACAGTGAAAAAAGTTTTTTGTTTTTAAATGCAAGCTATTGTGACACCAGATATGAGTGAGTGGTGGCACTGACTGGGCAAATGGGCAATGTATCCACTGTGAGCCTGACACAGAAGCTGGCAGCAGTGTCAGACAACTAACTGATATTCAATCTATAACAGTGAAAAAAGTTTTTTGCTTTTAAATGCAAGCTATTGTGACACCAGATATGAGTGAGTGGTGGCACTGACTGGGCAAATGGGCACCGTATCCACTGTGAGCCTGACACACCCGCTTTAAGGACACTGACTGCTATTCAATCTATAACAGTGAAAAAAGTTTTTTGTTTTTAAATGCAAGCTATTGTGACATCAGATATGAGTGAGTGGTGGCACTGGGCACCGTATCCACTGTGAGCTTAACACACCCGCTTTGAGGACACTGACTGCTATTCAATCTATAACAGTGAAAAAAGTTTTTTGTTTTTAAATGCAAGCTATTGTGATACCAGATATGAGTGAGTGGTGGCACTGACTGGGCAAATGGGCACCGTATCCACTGTGAGCCTGACACACCCGCTTTAAGGACACTGACTGCTATTCAATCTATAACAGTGAAAAAGTTTTTTTGTTTTTAAATGCAAGCTATTGTGACACCAGATATGAGTGGTGGCACTGACTGGGCAAATGGGCACAGTATCCACTGTGAGCCTGACACAGAAGCTGGTAGCAGTGGCAGACAACTAACTGCTATTCAATCTATAACAGTGAAAAAAGTTTTTTGCTTTTAAATGCAAGCTATTGTGACACCAGATATGAGTGGTGGCACTGACTGGGCAAATGGGCACAGTATCCACTGTGAGCCTGACACACCCGCTTTAAGGACACTGACTGCTATTCAATCTATAACAGTGAAAAAAGTTTTTTGTTTTTAAATGCAAGCTATTGTGACACCAGATATGAGTGAGTGGTGGCACTGGGCACCGTATCCACTGTGTGCTTAACACACCCGCTTTAAGGACACTGACTGCTATTCAATCTATAACAGTGAAAAAAGTTTTTTGTTTTTAAATGCAAGCTATTGTGACACCAGATATGAGTGAGTGGTGGCACTGACTGGGCAAATGGGCAATGTATCCACTGTGAGCCTGACACAGAAGCTGGCAGCAGTGTCAGACATCTAACTGATATTCAATCTATAACAGTGAAAAAAGTTTTTTGCTTTTAAATGCAAGCTATTGTGACACCAGATATGAGTGAGTGGTGGCACTGACTGGGCAAATGGGCACAGTATCCACTGTGAGCCTGACACAGACGCTGGCAGCATGCATGTAACCAACTGATATCCAATCTATAACAGTGAAAAGTTTTGCTTTAAATGCAAGCCATTGTGACACCAGATATGAGTGAGTGGTGGCACTTCAGACTGGCAAATAAGCACAGTATCCACTGTGAGCCTGACACACCCGCTTTGGCGACACTGACTGCCATTCAATCTATAACACAGTGAAAAAGTTTTTGTTTTTAAATGCAAGCTATTGTGACACCAGATATGAGTGAGCGGAAGTACCGACTGGGCAATGGCCCGTGATCCACTGTGAGCCTGACACAATCTTCGCTTTAAGGACACACTGACTGCTATTCAATCTATAACAGTGAAAAAAGTTTTTGTTTTTAAATGCAAGCTATTGTGAAACCAGATATGAGTGGTGGCACTGACTGGGTAAATGGGCACCGTATCCACTGTGAGCTTAACACACCCGCTTTAAGGACACTGACTGCTATTCAATCTATAACAGTGAAAAAAGTTTTTTGCTTTTAAATGCAAGCTATTGTGACACCAGATATGAGTGGTGGCACTGACTGGGCAAATGGGCACAGTATCCTCTGTGAGCCTGACACAGAAGCTGGCAGCAGTGGCAGACAACTAACTGCTATTCAATCTATAACAGTGAAAAAAGTTTTTTGTTTTTAAATGCAAGCTATTGTGACACCAGTGAGTGAGTGGTGGCACTGATTGGGCAAATGGGCACAGTATCCACTGTGAGCCTGACACAGAAGCTGGCAGCAGTGGCAGACAACTAACTGCAATTACATTACACAGAAAAAAAAAAAGCATACCCTAACCCTAACCTAGCTATGCATTTCCTTATCTAATCAACAGCAGCTACACTTTCCCTCCTCTCACTAAGCATGCAGCTTGAGAATGAATGTAAAATGGATGCCTTCCAGTAGGTGGGAGGGTCTGCTAGAGAGGGTGTGCTGCTAATTGGCTGGAATGTGTCTGCTGACTGTGAGGTACAGGGTCAAAGTTTACTCAATGATGACGAATAGGGGGCGGATCGAACCGCGCATGCGTTCGCCATCCGCGGCGGACGCGAACACGCTATGTTCGCCGGGAACTGTTCGCCGGCGAACCGTTCAGTGCATCACTACCTACAAGGTTTTGCCTTGATGTTATAGGTGAGCTTACACTTGAATAGCCATTTTAGTGATACTAAAAAAAACTCCAGTTATTTAAATATGCATAGGAATTTGGGATAGTTTACAGGTCACTTTTTCATTGGTTTTTATTTTATGTATTGAAGCTGATGTAGTCTATAGTCATTGCTACCCAGGAGTAGTGGGAGTGGGAGTGCAGGGCTTAATTTTGTATGTGTAAAACAATATAAAATACTAATATCCATTATAAAGAGTTCTAAGTTTAGAATCAAAATCAGTGTTATACTATGCAAAATTAGCAACTTTCTGAACAAGTAGTAATTGTTTATATAATATGAAACATTTTCAGTCTGTTAGAGATTCTAGAAACCAAAAAGGTACCACCTCTGTGTGCATTTTTCTTGCGATTAATAAGATTGAAACACTAATGCTGTAGTCTATGACACTGACAATCTGTTCACTAGAAATTAATCTAGAATACTACAGAAGAGGTCTTTATATCTTTACTAATTTTCTTGCAGAACACATGCCGTTTGGGATGAATTTAAACTTTACTGAATGTTTATGTCAGATTTTCAGGTCATTGTGCATCTGTGTACATGTTGAGGACAGAAGGAGAGGATTTCCAGTTTCCATTGTCCAATATGCTTATCAGTTCTTGATCATTGCTCTGCTTCTAAACGTATTGTAATAAACAACACAGAAGGATGGGGAAAGCATAATTTAAATAAATATTACTTTGTACAAAATATTTAAAATTGTTTGGTGAAAGCCATCATATGTATTTTATATAAACAGCAATTGCACGAATTAAGTAAGGACTGAGTAGCAATAATTGATGCACAATACAGATGCATTTAGCATCCTATTCACGTCACGTTGAAACTAATGTAAGCCACTCATAATAGTAATTGATAGCCTTTAAAACATAACCAAAGCCCATACCAATGTTAGGAAATGTAATACTAGAGGTTAAGTAAAGGGGACAACTCTTAATTGGAACCAATATATAGGCAAAAATAAAACAAAATATACTTCAAAATGTGGGTGCTTCCAAAGGAGATTTAAAAAAAAAAAACCTCTTGTTTTTCTTTTTGGAATGATGCATTTTGCCCTTTAATGTAGTATTTCTCTCGTTACATTAGTACAATTCTTTTCTGGGAGAATTAAAAAAAAAAAAAAAAAAAAAGAGAGAGAAACAACAATTATATAGAATGCATACACCTAGTGGGAGTTTAACTTTCAAAGTTTTTAAATTGAATAAAACCTAGTACACCTTCCTCTATAATAAGATACCAGTGATCCCCGTATTCTACCATTTTTCAAAAAGCCACTAGAGGGGTGATAACCCTCCACAGTTTGATCAATAGTCAGTGAGATTAAATTATTAACAAGAAAGCTCTGTCAATTATTTTTTTGCAACCCTTGGTTTTGCAACTCCCCATCCTTTTAAAAGATACAACTCATTTATTGGAATTAATTCCAGAAATTAATTGGTTCGCGGAGTGTCAACTAGTAAACGTGGACATAAATGCCCTTCATGCAAGCATACCCCATCACGTACCAATCCAAGCGGTGGAATATTTGGGAAGGAGACTGCAGCATACCAGGAATACAGAGAGTTCATTTTGGAATTTATTTAATCTTTGAAGTGACTTTACAGTCAAACACAAGCAGGCCCGGACTGGCCATCGGACTATCCGAGTACCGGCCTTGCTGTGTGCCATGAGGGCCAGTGGGGAGATCAAAGATCACTGGTCCATTAGCAATGGCATGCGGCCACAGGCGGGCGAGGAGGATCTGGGCGAGCTCAAGCCTGCAGCTCTGCCGGGATCCTTTCGTGAGCTCAGAGCATTGCTGGGGTTACCATGGCAATGCTCCGATCTCGCAAGAGTTAAAGGGAAACTCCAGTGCCAGGAAAACAATCCCTAATTCCCACGGTATTAGGGAGTTATCTACCAAAAGGCTGAAAGACCAATAGATAACTCCCTAATACCGTATATATACCGTATATATATATTTACTTAGTATTAGTAAATTTTGCCCCTACTTGCTATACCGTTTAAAAAAAAGAAAAACTTATTGCCCCCCCCCCCGACCCCCACTCCTGAGCAGCGGATGGGGGCCCTAAAGTAAAATAATGGGGGGGACCTATTGTCCAACCCCCCCGACCCCCACCTCTGAACGGGGGGTGGGGGCCCTTAAGTAAAATAATGGGGAGGGACCTCCCCCCTGGCCCCCACCCCTGAGTGGTGGGTGGGGGCCCTAAATACTAATAAGGGGGGGACCTAATGTCCTCCCCCTGCCCCCACCCCTGAGTGGTGGGTGGGGGCCCTAAATACTAATAAGGGGGAACCTAATTTCCTCCCCCCTGGCCCCCACCCCGAACGGTGGGTGGAGGCCCTAAATTAGAATAAGGGGAGGGCCTAATGTCCTCCTCCCTGGCCCCCACCCCTGAGCAATGGGTGGGGGCCTTAAATACTAATAAGGGGGGGGACCTAATGTCCTCCCCCCAGGCCCCCACCCCTGAGCGGCAGATGGGGGCCCTAAATAAAAAATGAACCCCCCTCCACCCCCCTCCACTCCCCTCCCCTAGAAAACTAACCCCTACCTAACCCCCTCACCCTAAAAAATAATGAGGGGGGAGCCATTAACTAAGTACCTGTAAAAATAAAATCAAATAAAACTTACCATTTGATGTTTTCTTTCTTCTAAAATCTTCTTTTTTTCAGCCCCCAAAAAGGCCAAATAAAAAATCATAATAACCAACACACTTAAAAAAACCCATCAAAATAATCAATCTTCACCCATGGAGGGTTAATTTTTTATTTAGGGCCCCCACCCACCGTTCAGGGGTGGGGGCCAGGGGGAGGACATTAGTTCCCCCCCTCTTATTAGTACTTAGGGCCCCCACCCACCGCTCAGGGGTGGAGGCCAGGGGGGAGGACATTTGGCCCCCCCTTATTCTAATTTAGGGCCACCACCCACCGCTCAGGGGTGGGGGCCAAGGGAGAGGACATTGGATGTTCCATTATTAGTATTTAGGGCCCCCACCCACCCTCAGGGGTGGGCAGGGGGAGAAGACAATAGGTGTCCCCCCATCATTTTACTTTAGGACCCCCACCCACTGCTCAGGGGGGAGGACATTAGGTCCCCCCCTAATTGGTATTTAAGGCCCCCACCCACCATTCAGGGGTGCGGGCCAGGGGGAGGACATTAGGTCCCTCCATTATTATAATTTAGGGCCCCCACCCACCATTCAGGGGTGGGGGCCAGGGGAGGACATTAGGTCCCCCCATTATTATAATTTAGGGCCCCCACCCACCGCTCAGGGGTGGGGGCCAGGGGTAGGACATTAGGTCCCCCCCTTATTCTGATATAGGGCCCCCATCCGCCGCTCAGGGGTGGGAGCCGGGGGGGAGAACAATAGTTTACTTTAGTTTACTTTAGGGCCCCCACCCGCCGCTCAGGGCCTTTTAGTAGATAGCTCCCTAATACCATGGGAATTAGGGAGTTATCTACTTATTCATTCCTGTCATTGACTACCTAAGTCACTTACATTTTATATGAATGTATGTTACTTGATTGTTGTAAGTGTTGCAAATGCTTACAGCTGAATCCTGGCTACGTTTGTATACTTTTTATTTAAAATTGTATACAGTGTAACATTTTTCATTCTTCCACTGAG